TTTGATATATCATGAAGATGAGTATAAACATACTGAGGAAACGTAATTTCATAGCGACTTACAGAAGTATTTTGATTCATATTTGTCTTCGAAAACGTACTGCGGTTGGGGAAAAACTGTTACTTCGACAGAAAGTGATAATTTAAGGTAAAAACAAGTTTTCATCTAAAAGGAATTCGAATTAATACCAATAATTCAAGACAGAAATTCAGGATTGTTTTTAAAGCGATTTTGTCAAAATAATAATAATAATAATAATAATAATAATAATAATAATATAATAATAATAATAATAATAATAATAATAATAATAATAATAATAATAATAATAATAAAAATAAAAAGATTAAAAAAAAAAATTCTTTAATCTGACAACATTAGGAAGTAATGTGTCATTTATACTGTCACAGCAGCGGACATTGAGGATGGGGGGGGGGGGGCACACCACGCAATCCCGAGGAAACAAACAAACAAACAAATCTTTTTCTCTTCCTTTAACACTTTTACTTTTAAAATCTATCGAAGCAAAATTGATCTCCCACCAAATTGGCAAGATTTCGATCGAGTAATATAATTTTGGGAAAAAACGTATCTGGATCACCACTGAGACGGAAATATCTGACAAACACGTGTATAAAAATAAGATAAAGATCAGAAAAGATAAAACCCAGGAGAAAATGTTTAATATTAAAGGATTCAGCGGATATTTTTCCATATAGGATTTTCAAACGTACTTAAAACCTATTTGCTTTTTGTGAGCTAATTACGGGATTTATTTAAAACACATATGGGGTGAACGAATACAATTATATCTTTAATAGATATGTAATGAAAAGAAATATATTCATGATCCAGAGATATATTGATAACATTACTGCTTATTCCTTTAACTACAGATTTCGACAAATAAATGTACACTTGCAAGCGAGAGTGGTAACACCTGTAAATAAACTATTTGGCTCACTAGTAATATCGAAATACGAACTCAAATGGGATTGACGATTTGGGTCTGTGAAGAGAATTGATGGTAATTCTTTCCAACGTAACCGCACCGTCGGAGGCCGAGTCCCCAACTCCAGTCAACAATCCTGGGGGATCCCTCTTCCCCGAACCTATCACAACCATAAACGCAGAATCTATTATAAAGATAGCCGTATGACCCAAAGAACTCCCTAACCCGGGGGCTCCACCCCCGGACCCCCTCCCAATCGCCGTGTTTTCCTTCCGGGGGCTCCGTTCCCCTCTTTCCCTAACCTAACCATCAGCATAAGCACTTACCTTACTGTGGAGGGAACAGCCGAGCGGCGGCGAGGAGGGTCATCAAACCTTTTATTCGGCTCGCTGACTCATAAAAAACAGTCACCGTTGCACTTTTCAATATTAGATTGTGCTCTTGGCACAATTTGATCAGTCCTATGTTATCACTATATCTGTGAAAGAAATCCCCAAAACCGAAGTCGCACAAGCTACAAAACCTGCGATCCCTATCCATCGGCCGGGGAAGGAATGGCCCGGGGCGCGAACCCTTGGAAGGTACTTCGGTGGTTATGAGAAAACAAAATAGACGTTATGGAGCTAAAGATGCGATGTAAATGAAGGTTTAAGGGCGGATTGCGTATATGGTAATATAATATAAAGTGATTAATAAAAATAAAATAAAAAAGTTCTATCAGATGATTTGTAATACGTATGAAATACTGGTAGTAGTTAGCATGACGTTAATGGTAGTAACGTCACGTGACGTACATGCGCAGTCTGAGGGAAGTTGCTTTAGAAGCTGCGCGAACTTCAAACATAAGCGTCCACGCGCAGGGACTTAGCCGCAGTGAGCGCGTGTGGACTCTGCCTCGGCGCGGCAGTTGTCGCGACCTTTTTTTCATTTATGACGTTATGCTTTGTCTCTGCAGATCATTTCATATATCCGTGAACGTATTTTTTTAGATATCTTCGTGACGGTACCCTTAGATTTTCCCTATCTTAGCGCGGTTATGATATTAAGAATAACCGAATTGATAATAACGATAATGGTAACAGCAGAGGGCATGGCAGCAAAATAAGTACACAAGAAAGAAAACAGGGCTAGTGCTTTATATTTTTCCAAGATTTCTCTTAATCATAATGCTTAGTTGAGATAAGAAGGTAGATTTTTAAAGATTTGACATATTTCAGTGCAATGGTAGGTATACAATAATGTATATAACATCATATGCACAAGCGTAATATTAGTGTGCTCGTAAAAGCTACAAGCTAGTTATAGTGAAATTACATTTTCTTTCATGTTTCTGTGGTGTAGTGGTTAGCACAGTCGCTTCCTACGCGAGACTCGGGTTCAATCCCCGGCGGATAATTCATAATTCAGCTTCTATGGAATTTATTATATGATTTTTTTTTTATTATTATTATTTTTTTTATTTCTATCTACTTACCTTCCATTCCATATATCTTTCTACTTTCGTTTCTGTCTCTTTCTACGGTGTTTACAATGCGAAATAGTATGAAG